GCAATATCTTCTTGTTAGAATTAATGGTGCTTTTTCTATTTAATTCCATATCGATGTAAAAAAAGAAGAAAAGATACAAACATCGTTCAGTAAATTAGTTTTTAAAAAAAAAAGCTCTTTGGTGCTATTATTATTTCCAATATTATCAAATGTATGCATCGAACAAATTCTTAAAATATTTTCAGAGTATTGATTGTAAATGTTCTCAGTCAATAAAAAGAAACAAAAATTTGTTATCGACATTTCAGAAAGTTAAGCTTCTTAGTGCGAATCGAGTATTCTGTATACCTGATTTCCATTGTATGTTTTATGATTTAAAAGCTAGAGAAATTCATACGGTGCGTATATTCAAACGATGCAAATGGTAATAAATGAAATGTAATAAATTACAGAAGTAACTAGTAACCGACTGTGCTGAATGAACACGTGCTTCACTTCTGACCGAAATCTACCTGAGGGAGCACCGAAGACCCCACAATAGGGGAGCCATCATGTATATTAGTCAATGTTAAATTTTTTTTTAGAGTTTTTACCCTTAAATGGAAGGTGAGTTAAAGTAAGTTTGTTTCAAACATCTCCGTTGTTTCTAATCCTTAAAACGATTAGGGGTAGAAAAAAGTGTCATAAGACAAAGTTGACTGATATATAATGAACTATGTCCTGATAAATCTTGTAAATTTATTTTAACACATGTTTCTGATATCTTTATTTGATTTTTCGGCGGATAACAATTATTTTTTTCAGTTAATAATTTATTTCTGCGTTTCTTATACTTATATACTAGAACTTAGACAAGTCTTACACTGGTATAAATATTTAACGCTTCCTGTTGTAAACTGCCTTGTCTTAGCAACAAATCGTTTTTTATGTCCATTATTTCCTAAACGACGAAGAGCCTCTGCTTTTCTATTGCGTGCCATGTTTCCTAAAACTCTTCCTAATTGCATATAACAATTCACATAATAAAAAATTGTCGACTAGAGATCTCAGTCTTGCTGCAATCAGAGAATAATTTCCACCCTCTATAAATGGTTATTATGGATGTATAGTCCTCACGCGACAAGAAGGCACCTTCGTGTTTACGAATTTACTATTTTTTTTTTACTATTCCTCCTGGAGAACTGAAATAAAAAGAAATCGGAAAAGTATACACAATTGCTAGAAATAATTTTAATACCATTTATGCTAAATATTGGTGATGACAATGTGATCTAGTATTCTATACCTCGTCTGTGATTAAGCACTCGTAGTAATAATGAAGTATAGAGGATACTCGCTTCTTGCTAATGTGCCTAAACTGTCGGTAACGCTGAGCGCGACATCGAAATGCTAAGGGAGAGGGGGGCTTATGATTCCCCAAATCCTAGATAGAAAACAATACAAGATGCAATGCCTGCATAGATCTTAAATCTATGTCTGTGAATCACCTCTGACATCGACAAATAGATTCTGTTCCATGCTAAAGTTGATGTATGTTCCATTTCACTGAAATGCTTGGTATGAACACTCTCAGTTCCTCTCTGGTAATACAATAATGTGAAAAGTGTTATCATGGAGAATCATATGTTTCATAACACAATTAAAATCAAATCTAATTTACTAGTTAAATTGGTTTTGTTAATGGAGTGAGAATTTGGAGCAAGTGATTTTAATGTCCTGATACTAAATACATTCCATCGCACACTTTCTCAAATTCAATTTATTAGCCTGTAATAAGGGTACTATTAATGCTATTTTTAATTTCACATCACTAAACAACTTCTTTGTATGGAGAAGTATTAAATTTGCTTTTAATGAAACCATATTTTTGTGTTCTGAAATTTTGCAACACATATTGCTGCATTAAAAGTAAGTATGAAATTGAAATATACTTGAAACCAGGAGTCCATTGAGCTAAAATAAAATATTCCAACAAACTTAAATTATACAAAAATATATAATACACATAAACAGAGGAGAAGTGACAATTAGATTCTTAATTAGAGAAATGATATCGCAAAGATGTTTTCATTTTTTAGCTATTACTATCACTGTTTTTCAAATTTCTCTCATCTATAACAGACCAGATTCTGCTCAATCTAGTTTGAATTGTAAACTTAGACCAAATGTATACTAAATTTCATAAACTTATGTGGTTACAACAGTTCAATGGCGTTTCTACTTATGCTTCTGGATAGTTATCTATATTTGTGCAGAAGACTTTACACGAGTCAACTATACTATATATCTTTTATTATAATCATTTGTTGATCTGAAAGTTTCAATAGTTTTATACAGTTTCATCGAAGAATATTATATTATATTAGAAATACACAAATAACCTAAAACCTAATGAAATCCTAGAATAATTTTAACTTTATTATCCAATAACATGTACAATTGTAAAATAGTTGAAATTAAAATATCTAGAGTAGTTGGTAAGAATTAAGACTGAAGAAGCTGCCTAATAATTCATGATGTACTAAATAAGTGTTAAAAAATAGCTATATTTGTACATCACACATGTTGTACAAAAAGAAGGAGAACTTGAGAAAAGCTGGGAATTTAATCTCAATAAAAAGAATCATACATCATGAATTTTAATTAACATTCCACATTGCTCAATTAACACTTTGCACTCTAGATATATTTAAACGTTAGAGCCCAAATATTTAATTCACTTCAATATGTCTCATAGACAAAAACATGAAGAATTGAGCGTAATAAAATACTACACGCAAACTGTGCGGTAATTATTAGCAGTGCTGCAACCTGAAAATCGCAATTCGGCTGTAAAGGATTCAATGCATCAATGTATAAAATAACTGCCTTTTTAAATTTTATAATTTGATTTCTTACCGTAAGTTTGCGTAAACGATTCCCAATTTTCTCACCCCATAACAACAAGTGATAAGAGAGATCCGGTTACTGATAAAAACATCCCAGGAATATTCAAAGGTGCAGATACTTGTTACAAATGCCCAAAAATCCGTTGTCACCGACGAGGAACGATTTCACTAAACAACAACCTAACCTACCTTGTTTTCAACACAGCACCGACGCGACTGTGCTTATCTAAAATCGTTGCTTTCAACCACAACAATTTCCCATGAAATGCGACACCACGGACTACGGACGGTCATGTTTCGTGTTCCTCCCTTCCATCTCGATTCCGGGGTGCACCGTCAGGTGTCCTCAGATTCTGCTTCCATTGCATCAATGCAGTGCTCGCGAGAGCAACACGTTCAGTCGGCGAGCGGGTGTCGCGAGTGTGTAGTCTCTCGTTGGTACATTCGCGTCTGGAAAATAATCTTGTAGGATCAGTCATCAGTGTAGCGTTATGTAGACGGCGCGAGAGAGAGGCGAATGCGTACAGGGACGCTTTCGATTCTGTGGGATCTGTATATGACGGACAGATATGCGTGAGGTGGCAGTAACGCGTTACCGGGCCAAGTCTTTCGGTGTGTGTCAGTGAAAGAAGAGAAGACCCACGTCGGGAGAGAGCGTGAGCGCGCGCGCGCGCGCTTGCCCGCGGCAAATCGTGCCTGCTTTCGTGTTTTCGACATGGCTGGGATATACCGTTACCCGTGAACAGTTTTTTTTCTCTCTTTCTCTCTCTCCCTCTCTCTATATTTTCTCTCTCTCTCCCCCTTTCTCTTTTTTTTCGTCTTTTCCGAATCGTATCCCCCATTTTTCTACAAATCTTTTCGTTAACCCCCGTGTTCGGTCGGGCTCGACGTGTCTACCCTCGATGAAGGCTCGGTCATAGGGGTGAATCGGCGGCCGCGGATTGAATCAATCGCCGCGCGACGGCTACATGGAAAAGTTTCGTCGGGCACGGGGCTACGCGGAACTGGCCAGCGAACCAAGAGCGGTCCTGCTGCAAGGTTAGGTAAGTTGTATTGGCAGAGCCGAGCCCGGCCCGATTATTTTCCTCTTCGCACACACTGTTCGGCCCTGCGGACGCGTTCGAGCGGCTCCATTGATTTCCGACTACGCGTTTTCCGCACGGTTACTCTCCAGCCCTATCCGCGGTCGCGTATACAAGCTGACTAATATTTCTTTTTTCATCTGTATACGCACACTAAACAGCGAGTTCATTTGACACTTACATGCATGTATGTGTATGGATGCACCTCTCTACGCGTATATATGTATCTTCAAGTTCTTCCATTTTCTCATTCATTCGACTCGAGACTTCTGATCGGATCAAGTTTTATCGGCGTGTAAATTATGGACGTGATTCTTTCGCTAAAGGCTTCGAAAGCAGCGGCTTAGTGGCATTTACTGTTCCTCCATCGTTCAAACGGAATGTCAGAAGTTTTCCTTAACCCCCGCAGTAAATGGTAAAGAATTCCGCCGATGACACTGGCGGCATTATTACAATGTCGATTGGAGATCACTGTTTTTCAAACCTTTTGTAAGATGATCGTACCGTGTTATGCCGATGATGGACGTTTTTTTTGAGACCCCTGTAGCTGTGATCCTCGGACCTGTTTCGACTTCTGCGCAATTTTCTTGCTAAGTGGGTTTTGGTATACGTATCTTCGGGTTATGTCAGTCCTCCTGATAGGCCTAATACTAATCAGTTTAATCCTTTCAAGGATATCGTTACAACAGTCATCTACACGTGTGTGGATGCTGTATTTTTTTTTAGTCTCTTAGGTTCGACGACATTTTACGTAACAATTAAAGAATTAATTGTTTAAATAATCGAATTATCTTAATTCGAATACGCTTAATTAATATTAAGCTCTAATATATTGTATATTAATATAAAGCTCTAATTCGAATTAGCTTAACGAGTGGAAATACAAGCTCTGTGTTTAAATTCAATAAATCTTTACAGAATAAATACACGAACAAAGAGTGCGGACGTTTTTCGGTTAAGAGTTATTCCGTTTTAAAAGGTGTACGAAATATTCGTAAATCTGTACGAAATATTCGTAAATCTGTACGAAATATTCGTACACCTTTTAAAACGGAATAACCCTTAACCGAAAAACGTTCGCACACTACGTTCTTGTATTTATTTTGAGAAGATTTATTGAATTTAAACACAGAGCTTGTATTTCCACTCGTTAAGCTCGTGAACAGATAATTCGATTATTTAAACAACGGGAGATCAATATTTATTCGTATGGTTGCTGCAGTAAATATCATTTTAATATGTGATTGAATTCATTAAGAAAAATATTATTATATATAATATATAATAATAATAATAATATAATAATAATATAATAATAATATAATATAATAATATATAATATAATATATATTATATATTAAAAATACTATATATACATTGCAACAAATCT